GTTGGAATCAGCGGCGGGTCCGGCCGAGCAACTGCAGGGGAGGGCAGGCAGGGTGCTCTGCTCCCTGCCCGGGGTGGGTGGTGACTGACCAAGCATGTCAGTAGCTATTGCTTGTAGGGGTGACCTTAGGTCCCAGTGCCAGCAAAATGGGGGTGTTTCTGAGGCCAAAGTGGTCCAATCCCAGCGGGGGTACTGGAAGAGCAGGGACATTCCTACCTGGGTCAGTCTCACTCCCTCCTACTGAGCCATCCTGCCAAAGGGCAGGCAGTGCCTGCAGCTGGATTATAAACTATGGAAACTGGGGGCCATTTTGAGTGGCACCAGATTTTGACTATAAGGGCTAACTTTTTCATGATGGAACAAATTAGCTGACAATTAAGCAAAATGAATCGTTAGCTTTCACTATCTGAAAGGGAGAAGGGGAGCTAGCAGCTAGTGCTGTTAGCTGCAGGGACCTGGCAAAAGATAAACAAGCAACATTAATTTTAATTTTCCCCCCATTTTTTTAAACTCCAAAACTAATGGATAATTAATGAGCTGATAATCCTCAAAGAATCCAGGTTTGCTTGTGGACTAGAGACACTCTGTGAGACTGGTCTCTGCTTAAATTGGGAATGGTCTAACCCTCCTTCATTATGCTGGCCTGACTGCAACACTTCACTTTTAGGTCCCAGCGTTATGTGCCTGAGCTTCCCCTGCGGTACTAGAGGAATTGGCCCCTCCACTGTGGTGATGCAGAGGGGGCTGCGTCCACGTCGGGCCCTGAGATGGAGCAGACGCTGGCACGTGCCTGGGAGGAGCAGCCCAGCCCACCTGTCTTGTGTTTGGGACTGCTTAAACCTAGCCCCGGGGGAAGCTCCTGTGGCCCCTCCCTCCAGCTCTGTGCCCACTGCCTGGCAGCTGCACTGGCTCAGCCCCTGGGATGGGCCTTCCCTCACTGGCAGCGCCATGCACCCCTTGTCTCCCCTTCTGTCAGCATGCCAAGGCCAGGCCTTGGGCAGCATTTGTTCACTGGAGCCAGGCAGAGGGCTGTGCCCTGCCCTGTTGCCCCTTGAGCCCCCTCCCTTGTGGGGTCCCAGATGTGCCTGCAGGTGCTGGGGCCAGAATGCAGCTGTGCGCCAGGGGCGAGGTGCCAGGGTGGCCTGTTCCCTGCACATGCCAAGTCCAGCACAGGGCACAGTTAACCCATTCCTTCCCAGTCAATAGCAGCATATAGTCAACGTGGAGATCCCGAGGCATGCACTGTTTTCAGGGACGTGGCAGAACCGTACCGGGCTCTGCCACATCCCTGTGCCGAGCAGAGTCAGGGAGGGGAGCCAGGCACTGCCCTGGGGGGCAGGCAGAGCTGGGCTGAAACCCCTCCAAGTAACCCCTAGTATGACTTACAAAAAATGTTTCTGCCTGCAGGTGGTGTAGTTGGAAATGTTGGTACTTTGTTACGCTGCAGAGGGACTTTGTAAAGCATTTTGAGAACATGTGCTGTGAGGGCACTGGCGCAAAGGCACTCCCTGAAGATGCCAAGATAAAAAGGCAGAGGAATATATTGGTCGTGGAGAGGACAGGAAACTGAAAAGGTCCTGAATCCATGTGGACCCCCACCAGCATTCGCTGCTGTGGACAATACAGCTCTTAACTCAGTATCTGCTTACTCTTGCCTCATGCGCGAGACAGCCCAGACGCAGGGTGCCTGACAGTGTTACCTCTCGTTGCGGGGCTCTGCAGCTCTGACATGGCAGGATGCGCCCCCTGCCATGGACAGGAAAGCCCATGGCAGGGGGGCGGACTTGATGATCTGCTTAGGTCCTGTCTGACCCTGCCAACTATGAAACTGCGTGCTTCGTTTTGGCTTTCCACGTCCATGCATACAAGGACAGTCTCCTAGTGCCACCTCCTCATGTGGGGGCTGATGGAAGGGTAGTGGTAGTGATGGTGTGTCCAAAGGCATGGGCAGTCTGACTGCTGAAGACTTGTTCTGTGCCTGTCCTCAGAGAAGCATGGTTTGGGATATGGCTATTGATGTAACTACATCTTTGCAGTCCTGCTAATGACTGTGAAGTCAGGGCAGAGGCCTTCGTCTTGTACCAGAAACACACTGGGAGCCAGAGGAGAGGCTGGAGCACAGCATACACTCCCAAAGCCCTTCCCATGGGGGAAGGGGGCTGCTGGGTTCTGCCTGACCTGGAGCACTGTATCCACAGCTGTTCCCAGCTGCAGTGAATTGTGATCATCTGGTGTGGAGGTGAGGTATGCATTGAATGCTGGCAAGATGCTCCTTCAGGAGAAGTCTTGAGCAAGCTTAGAGATAGAAGGAGTCAAACTTCCGGCTTTTGCCACTGTTTGACACCGACTGTGTGCGCACGGGCATAACTGCCTCCTTAGGACAGTTTCCATTACTACAGTACCTGAGTGCATGGCCATTTTAAGGCAGACAAGGTTCTTTGGGTAAATCTGATATAGCTTATTAGACCACCTAAAATAGTTGGAAAAATTCTTCTTTGCAAGCTTTCGGGTACAAACATGCTTTTTCAGGCAGAAGAAGGGTCTGCAGTTGTTCTGTGCTCTCCTGGATGGGAAGAGCACAAAACAACTGCAGACAGCCACTCTGCTTGAAGAAGGGTATTTGTACCTGAAAGCTTGCAAAACAGAATTTTTCCAACTATTTAAGCTGGTTTAATAAAAGGTATTGGATTTACCCAAAGAACCTTGTCTACCTATGTCCTTAGACCAACATGGCTATGACCTACACCCCTGGCTATTTTAGTGCGTTTTTTTCCTCACACCAGGTAGGAAAGTGCGCTACTCATGCCCACTTGATACATCTAGAGGAACTCAGCCTATTGCTCTACTTCAACCAAGTTTTCTCTGCCGTCTTACCTTGAGGATTTCCCTCTGCCAGACTGTGCCTTTGGCACAGTGGGGGACCCCCTCTGCAGTGGGAAAGCCACCATCTGCCCAAGGCCTGCAGGTACAGTGGAAGCCCAAATGTCTGCCCTATCATCACTCACTAGGACACAGAAGATCCAACCCAGTCCTCTTCTTACCAGCTGTGGTGAATGTGAGACACAAAAAGGAAGCACTAGAACAAGGGATTGCTAGGAACTTTAGGACTGCTCTTCTTGCCCAGTTTTTACAGGGTTACAAGTGTGTATTGCAACTAGAAGCTTTAGTTAAATACAGAGGAGGTGATTGCTCAATGCATTAAAAAGGGACCATTCCTCCTGTTTGGGGGAGAGCTTCTAGACATGCACAAGTCTGTGTCCAGGCCAGTGTGTGGCCCCCAGGCTCAGAGTAGACAGGAGGACTGAGAGCGCAGGAAGCCAGATACCACGTAGATATGGGAGACAGAATTGGAATCCCATCTGGTTTCTCACATTGTCCTTTCTTGCAGGCGTGGCTGTGCAGGGCTGCCAAGGAGCTGGCTTCATTCACAGGGAACTGACATCAGTCCGAGATGTTCTTCTGCGGGAGGAATTTGTATCTCCCTGCTGCTGCCTGCATCCTTACCTTCATCTCCATGGTTATGCTGTCTTACCTAAGTACACCAAGACACTCTGCCATCCCAAAAATAATACAAGGCAGCAACTGTAGAGGACGCACTGTCAACAGCACGATCACAGCCTTGGAGGATAACAGAACCTTTATCGTAGCCCCGTACTTTGATAACAGAGAGAGCAAAATCACCCGAGTGATTGGGATTGTTCACCATGAGGAGGTGACGGCACTTTACTGCTGGTTCTGCTGCCAGCCCGATGGGGAAGTACACGTATCTAGGGCAGACATTGATGTCCACTCGGATCGATTTGACTTCCCGTACGGTGCAGCAGACCTGCTCTGTGCAGAACCCCCCACCTGTGATCCGAGCTATGTGTCGATTCACTCGTTCCCTAATGGAAATATTGAGCAGCTGCCCAGATTTGAAATAAAGAACCGCAAGCCTGAGCCCTTTTCTGCTGACTTCACTGTGTGCATCTCAACCATGTTTGGAAACTACAACAACGTCTTACAATTTATACAGAGCATGGAGATGTACAAAATTCTGGGGGCCCAGAGGGTGGTGATCTATAAGAACAGCTGCAGCCCCCTGATGGAGAGCGTCCTGGCCTTTTATATTGCAGAAGGGACCGTCGAGGTCATTCCCTGGCCCATCACCTCCCACCTCAAGGTGTCTCCTCACTGGCGCTTCCCGAAGGATGGGACGCACATCGGTTACTACGGACAAATCACCGCTCTCAATGACTGCGTGTATCGCAACATGTACCGGAGCAGGTTTGTGCTGCTCAATGATATCGATGAGATTATTCTGCCCGCGAAGCACCCGGATTGGAAAACCATGATGAGGAGTCTTCAGGAGCAGAATCCAGAAACTGGCGTTTTCCTCTTTGAGAATCACATCTTCCCCAACAC